TTAAAAGAGTATTTATTTATTTTACAAGTTAAAGGAGCTTTATTAACTTTAGTAATATTTTTTTGTAGAGGCAGTACAAGTGTATTGTTAGGGGTTATTTGAATTAGATTAGACTATGCTGGACTATACTGAGATACCTTTTGGAAGGGAGAAATTTTACCCTTTTTATAATGAATTTTACTATGAGAAAAGCCTATACAAGACTACAACTTTTCTTATTATTCTTTATATTGCTTAACCTTATTTGTTATAACCTTTAACTCCTTCTACACAGCCTTTTATTACTTTAACATTTTTTACAGTTTTCATAGTACTAATGAGAAATGTTTCAGTTTTTCGATTCTGGGGTCAGAACTTATCATATTGTCTTCAATCACACCCCTCTTAACATCACCTTACACCTAACCCAAGTAAGGTAGGTAAAGTCAATGTCTATTTCTAGCATAACAGGTTGGTCTAGGTCAACCTTACTTTAATTGAAGAAGGTAATGGAGTCTTGCATGAAGGCTTGTATACTTCTATATAGCTTCTTTTAGGGCTGGGCACATATGTTTCAGATGGATCATCATAAGCAACTCTAATTAGGTAAATATGCCACAATGATGTCCATTTTGCAGGTTCCATGAGATGTCAGTTTTATCTCTGACACTGCTTACTCAATACAACTATACATACTAATATATCAATATACTCTAATTGAAACTCTTTTATATACACATTCTGACTACAATAACTTCAAAAAATAGTTATATAATAAATATATTTTATATTTTAAACAACTTACATTATTTGATAACTTTATACTTCTAAATTGAATACACATTTCATCCAAACTTGAACAAATTTTTACTGAACAAAAACCTAAATAGTTCATTATACTAAAAAACAAAATTATTATAAACAACTATATCAGACAAATAAACTTATTATTAAACTTTTCTATATTTAATTCTTTGTTATTTACAACAGGCCACTATAGTTTTAAATCTAAACTATAACTGATAACTTTTAATTACAATTACTAAGAAATAATTATTGAAAAAACATATAAATATAATACTAATAAAAATACTATTTCAATTACATACTGGCTAACTAAACATAACTTCTTTTATCTTAGCCTTTATTCACTTTTAATCATCAATTGTATATAATGTACAGAATATATATATAACTTAAACAGAAGTTAAAACTATTGCATTTTTAACATTTTAACTAACTTTGCAACAAAATTTCTATAACAAAAAAGATACAATAATTCAAATAAACTTAACTTATATGCAAACTACCTAGATCTTATTTATTTTATTACTTTACAGTAATCTTTAATAATTCTACTACTATCTATTGTTATACTTACTAATACACTTATATTTAACTTATTTCAAATCAATTCCTCTTTTATTAAACTTTAATAAATTGCTAACTCAACAAAAGGTACACAAACTTTATATTCTATACAAATGGATTAGTTACTAATCTTACTACTAATAGATGTTCTATAAACATCAGTAGGTACAAATTCACAATAACATAATACTTTAATTATACTCTTTTTGCATTAAACTCTAATCATTATTTTACAAAGCAGAACTTATTGTAATATTATTTGCTATTTGCATATTCACACAATAGCAATATACAAATTTATACAGACTCTTAATCAATTATTGCAAAGTTTGATAAAATTACTAGTTATTTAATTTTAGCATATAAACAATACTCTTATTCATATTGGCCTATTTGGCACTTACTACTTAACTTAATTTTATTCTATTAACATATAATTATTTTTTTACAAAGTATCTGCATATAGTAACAATACATTTAACAATGAAGTTGATAAGTTAGCAACAAACTACAATTTTATTGTATATCTTGATATAATATATAACAATCTATATAACATTTTATATACTTTAAAATATGGAAAATACATAATTGAACAACCTACTAAAGAGCTATCAAAAATATCTGTAATGTATATATAATTGTTATATAGTCATCATAACACTGTATGAGCAATATTATCTTACTATTATTACAAATTAACTAGAATGTAATTGGGTTATATCTTAAAAACAGTACTAAATGAACAAATAATTATACCAACTTCTCACTTAATCAAAGTAAAATCTTTTAAGATCAAAACACTTATCAACATTAAATTATTTTTATAAACTATACTCAGACAGCTTCTAGCATAATAACTGTATTACAAACTAAATATCAGAACATCTATTATATTGGTTACTTTGTTCTAATCTGTCAAATTTTACTAGTAATATTATGAAAACAAATTTTGAAATTATTAATAATAACTTATTATTAAACATTGCAAAATCACAATTATAACAATTATACTATTTACTAACTTAACATAATAGTCTATTAATTAATAACACTTAATAAAGACAAAGCAGCATATATACAACACTACAAGAATACATGCCAACAGATCTAATTACAACAATTAGATTTTATACTACATCTTATCAAATAGCAACCTTAATAATTACCAAACTGCTTATCAAAATATTACAAAAAATATATGATTATATCTGAAAACTATATGTTACTAAATTAGCATAATAAAAAAAAACAATAATATTATACCAAATAACAAATTTACAATTTGTAGAAAATTCTATAATTACTCTAATTAATATTATAATTTACATTATACAGTTTGCCAACTGTGATTTATTTAACTAACTTTATACAAAAGATAATAACTGTCTACTACTAGGAAATGCATTTTACAAAATTGATCTTTGGTCTGTATACTAGATACTATATAGTTATTCTATAAACAATATTTTATATTATCAAATCTAGATAAGTTTTAACTACTTTAATAGGTTTAGATTACAGATAAATTAGATAAAAATTTGGCTATAGTCTGTGCTTCATTTTTGTAATATATTTGTAATTAGAATAAGTTTGTAATTTATATCCAGAAAAGTCACTAGAGGCTTCTTTACTAAATTAATAAAAATATAAGCAAAATCTCACTTTAAAAAAAAAATAGCTTTAATCAAGTCAATTTTATTTAAATAAAGTATTTTAAATAACAATTATAAAGTTAATAATTTAAGTATAACTATTTAATAATTGTTAATAATATCATATAAGTATAAATATAAAATAATACAATATTATATATTTTAAAATAAAATAAAATTTTGATTAAACATATTTAATCATTTTATAATATATATCAATTTCTAGAATTCTGCAATTTGATTTGATTTAATTTGATTTGATCAAATATTTGATTTTAAATTAAATTCAAATCTGAAATTTTTAAATCAAATCAAATTCAAATATGATCAAATTTGATTTGATTTGACAAATATTTAATATAATTTGAAAATTTATTATTAAATATTTAAAATTATAAGTCATTTACTTGAAATTTTATTAAGATAAATTACCTTTTTTATTTTATTAAACTAGAAGTAATTTGTTTAGAAGAACACTTTTACTTAAAAGTCAAAATTAATTAACATAGTAATTTTTTTATAAACAAAGTTTTATCTTTATTATTCAATATTTAAAAATTTTTTTAAATCAAATCAAATTCAAAATTTGAATCAAATATTTGATTAAATTAAATTCAAAACTGAAATTTTCAAATCAAATCAAATTTAAATTGATCCAATATTTGATTTGATTTGGGTTTGAGAAACCCTATTAGTTTCAAACTCATATAATAAAATTTAAATAAAATGGATAATCTAGTTTTAAAAATTTGTAATAATTTAATTAAACATATAAAATCTATTTTTCATTTTTCTACAAACAGTTAATTACTAATATATAATGCATGCTAAAATTAATTGTTATAGACAAAACTTCTGTGCATATAAAAGATTATAATATTCATAGCAAAAATTTAATAGAATTAAATAATTTATTAAATTTTTTATTATGTTCATTTATGAGTATAAATTATTTGTGAAAATAAATTACATAATTTTACTATATAAAAATTATAAAATTTTGTTAATAATAATAAAGAACATGATTATCGATATACCACTAAAGACCTAGAGCTATGTAAATTTGTTGAAATGTTTTATGTGAAAGAGGAATGCAGTTTAAATTTTCAAAGATTTTATGATAATGGTTATTTTTATGCTACATATAGAGCATTTTATAATAAATTTTTGTGTCTTAAATGTAAAGGTTCTTTAAGAGAAGATTAATAAAAATTGTTTAATATAAGCAAAAAATATATGAACAAGAGGTAAGAAGTGCAGTAATAGTTCAAGTTAATAAAAGGTTGTACAACACAAGTAATCTTTTATATCAAACCTTATGTACGGCGGCTGTGGCGCGGATCATCTGACCGGACTTTTTGTGGTCACCCTGACGCATTCTGTTTAGTACGATACTGTAGGCGGATGTTCGCCAATCGGGACTTGAATAGAGCCACTGAATTCGGGTTAAACCCTTATTTAATTTCATTTGATTGGTCTGGGAATGATTGTTTTGAGTTTTCGAGGGTCTATTCTGCAAGAAAGATTTAATGAATATGCATAAAACCCATCAGATTATCTCAAAACCCATCAGATTATCTCAAAACCGTTATATTATCGTCTAATTTATTATTCTGAGCCTACTGAGACATGCAGTTTGACATTGTTATTGTTATAAGTCAATGATAAAAATAAACTTTCAGACAATTGTATTGTCAATAACCTGTTCCAATATAAAAAATTTATAGGGTACTAATGTTCTCTCTTTTGCATATTGACGCAAATCTGCCCATATGAATAGAAAAATTCGCATCTCAGCATAAAATAGCGTTAGTAGCCATTTGCTAGAAAATAGCGCTATTTTAGATGCTATAAAAATCTAATATCTCTGATTCAAGCCTATAGTTCAAACCTGTAATTGGTGCCGTAATTCGTTAATTACGACATTCATAATATTAAAATCACTTATTATACAGATTAAACTGGTTTTAAATTTGTATTTACTAATTCAACTCGTTATCTAACTTCATGGCTACTTTCCATAGGAAAATTTCTTTTTCTTAATAGATAAATAATATACCCAAGTAATACTAATATTCCTAAGCCTATAATCCCACCAATAACAATTCCAATAATAATAATTATATTTGAGTTCGAAGTTTGAGAAGTTTGAGTACTTGGATTTTGAGTTTGGTTAGCAATTGAATGAGGGATGTATGAATCAATCCATCTATATTGGCCATTCGAAATGTTGAGAATTCTTATTGCAGGGCTCATCAAATAACGAGTATTATTGGGATCGTATTCCCCTAAGAAAATTCAAAAAAGAAATACGGTAAATGGTCATTTTCAAACATGGAAATAAATTCCTTACCAAAAGCAAAAATTATGACATCAATATAGAGTGTAGCTTTATGTCCGCTTGACATTATGGATGGAGCATTTCCAGTCGGTGAAATAACTGTCCACACATAGTTTAAGAGATTCAGAACTGCTAGACCGGAATATCCAGTCTGATTACTGCCTCAATATATTATTATACTCTGGTTATCCGGTAAGAGATTTGCTGAATGATGAATAATTGAGGGAATGTAACCATTCTTTGTTGCTGTCTATAAATCAAATGTATTTTTGTATTTTAGTTATTTTATTGTAAGAACGTATGAAGATAAATTGACTCATGAACGCACAATATTGGTCCATTGATTAGTTTTCGTGTCATATACATCAAGCTTTAAAAAATTATACAAGGATTTTTTGATTAGTAAGTTATTACATAATTTATTTTTCATGACTTAATGATTTATATTATAGTAGTTCTTACCTGTCCCACATCTGAGCTAAGTGCACCGCCGATCATAATTATCCGTCCATCAGGTATCAAAGTCGCTGTATGAAGATAACGACCATTAGGTTTGTTCGACGTAGGATTTGAAGTCCAAACGGATTGTGCGATATCAAATATATACATATTTCCGTCAACTTGGATAAAACTACGATTTTTATAACTCATGCCTGCACCAACTCCACCCCAAACATACATTTTCTTATTCATGTTGTCAATTACCGAAGTATGCCATTTTCTTGAAGATGGTGTTGATATCGTGTCTTGAACATATGTGATTACAGGGTCCGCTGAGAGTGGCTGAATTAGTATAAGATTAGTGTCAGGTACATCTATACCACCTCCAAAAACATATATTATATTCATATAGGAAACTGTACTAGCTCCACATCTAGCATCCAAATTTTTTATAAATTGATATGAAGGAGAAGAGTCAGAAAATTGCCGAGTTAGGTCAATATAAAAAAAATCATTAAATCTACCGCTCTCATTTTTATATCCACCATAATAATAGATCTTATCAGATACAAGTTCAGACATAAATTCTGTTCTCCCAACTGGATTGTACTTTCTGCGCATACAGTAATCAAGGTTAAATAAGTAAGTATTAGATACAACGAAGTATACATCTGGAAATAGATGCTGGATATTAAAGTTGTTGGCATGATAAAAATTTATTGAAATTAATATGCCTATTTGACAATCCAAAATTTTATTTCTACAAAATTATGCAAATTGCTGGCAGAAGCATTCGTGTACGGAGAAATTACAATACACTTATTTGCAATTTATTTGGAGGGGATGATGATGATGAATGCAGTTTGTAATAATATTTTTTTCTTCCGTAACATGAACGCGTAGTACTGCACTTATTAGGACAAATTTCTTTCAAAAATGTTTAAATTTAATTTCTATCTTATCGTTACGATTATAATTTTTAAGCTAAAAATTAAGAAATCGATGGGACATGTGATGTGCCATTTATATGATATCTAAAATTTTTTAGCGTACAGTACGTACAGTATGTATAGTTGTATAGCTGATAGTGTTTGCAATACGTATAGTTGTATAGCTGATAGTGTATATAGTATGTGTAATACGTATAATACGTATAATACGCATATGATGTATAAACTACCTTCTAAATAGAAAATTTTGCAAGGAATAATTTTGCTTAGAAAATAAAAGACGGTTTAATAAGATATGAACAGTTTTATGATTTGTTCTAGAATATTCCAAAGAATTTTTGCATACTGTATTCAGTGTTTAAAATTTGATTTTGGTTTAATATGCGAAAAAGATGTTGACTTTTGTAGTCATAAAATTCAAAAAGAGATACGTAACATGTATGACACATAATAAAATCCGTAGATTCAAAAAATTCTACTTGCAGAAGTAATTTTCAATATACGCACCGCAGATTCCGCATATAGATTTTAAACACTGACTGTACGATTCGAGGAGAGCTTCTTGTATATTATTATCAGGTTTAGAACGAATTGTAAACATTAGAGGATTAAATGAAGTAAATGTAAGCGATTATTATGTAGGTAACTTTACTTATTATTTCGAACTTATTGTTAAAAGATAAAAGTTCAAGAGTTATATATTGTCGTAGGCGGATTTCTGCAGCTCAGTTGCTCCACTATCCGAATTCTCTTGCACCAATGATAGGCAACCTTTTCGAAAGAGGGTGTTGGATTTGGCTGGTGGGTGATTAATGCTTTCGGTTACTTAGGGTCCACGAAAGCAAGTCGGCAAAATCACGTGATCAAGAACTTGAACGAACAACGGTTTATATGGGGTTTACAGGGTTGATAACGGTAATGGTGTTAGTGTTTATTAGGGGCAATATAAGGTATTTGGGACTTATAATTTAATAAAGCTAACAAAGCGCTCCCGCTCTTAAGGGCTATTTCGGCCTTTATTTATAATACTAAATTCGTCACTCACAAATGCGACTTTGCACTTATTATTTCTTTAAGGCTACTAAATGTCATTTACAATGATTTATGCAATATCTTTAAGGATGTGTAATTTGTCTTCACATCCTCCCTTCTGGATTCGAAATACCATTTTCATTTCGTGTATTTTTCACGTGATCGGTCACGATTTTCCATTAATAGTAGCTCACCCACAAGATTTTTTCCGGTACGTGATTTTTAGCCAATTATATCGAAGGATCAGGTATAACGTAAAATCAAAACAATCGAATTAAGCGAAAGATTTTAAAGTAAGAAGTATCATCTTAAGGTTAGGATAAGGGATGAGGAAGGGCATATTTTATACTAAAATTTCACGAGGAATTTTTTTTATTAGAACGCAGAAGGCAGTTTCATAGGTAAAATTTCGAGTTAATGGCGATTTTTTAAAAAGACGTGATTTTCATGTTACACCTGCTCCTTCAATCTAATTGGCTAAAATCACGTGCCGGAAAAAATCTTGTGGGTGAGCTACAGAGGTTCGATATTCCAGTCTCACAATATCATTATTATTAGTGACAAGCAACCATTTATATAGATTTTACTAAGTTAAAGAAAAAGAAGTATTACGCGCAAATTAAGCAATAATTTTAACTATAAGAAAAAGATAGTGAGAATTATGCAAAAATACAGTATAATAAAAATAAAGTTTACATCTAATTAAAAAGAAAATAATTACGCAACATCTAATAAGGCAATACACTTTTTATTGATTTTCATAACATAAAACTTTTAAACAGATCCGGCCGGCTTTTTTTTTACACCAGTTTTTCATAAATTCTGGGACATCCGACAAAAAATTGACCGACTGAATATTTGCCGATTCGATAAGTTTTGATTCGGCAGTGACCATTGCCGAATCAAAACTTATCGAATCGGCAAATATTCGGTCGGTCAATTTTTTGCTAATTTCTGAAACACCTACTCGTTACCCGAAATCTTTTTGGTAGGGTTGTTAATGGGTTGGGTTGATCCAATTCTTAACCCACACCGGTAAATTAGACTTACTCCAGCATTTCACTCCGGGTTGCTCCAAATTTAAAGATAAAAGTTTAAACCCAATCCAACTTGGGTTGGGTTCTGCTCCAGAGCAAACTACTCCATTAACAACACCACTTTTTGGTCATTCAATAAATTATCTATCTCTGAAAACTATATCGCTGTCTTCGGACCTTCAGTCCGGAGGCAGCAAAGTAATTGCCGAACGCTAGATAATTTACCGGTTGACCAAAAAGATTTCGGATAACGAGGTGTTCCCGAAATTATGAAAATAGCTGAAGCATATAAAAAAAAAAAATTTTTTTTTACAAGTTTTCAAATTTTGACCCGGCCGGGTTATGAAAACCAATTAATTAATTTTGCATGGCCTAATTGCTACGACCAATAAAAATATTACGAAAGAAAAATATAGGAATAAATTTCGTAATAAGTCTGGGACGGTCAAAATGCACAACACTACTTTAGGTATCCAGAAAATGTGGCTACGTAGTAGATGAGTTAAACGTTCTATATTGCCAATTCATCCTAGAGATATAATTTATTTTTAATACTAATGGCTCTTTTGGATGGGCGAGGAACGATATATTCTGCCCGTAATCTCGATTTTGTAAACCTGAAATAGCTTTTAAAGAAGCACCATTTAGGGTGGCATTTTATTATTGGCCAAAAGATTAAATTGTTCTTTTGTTTTCGAAAAGAGTTTTATATACATTTTGAGTTCTATTAATCTCAGACCTGTTTTAGTTAAATACTTTTTTTTTTAAAAAAAAAAAAAATTTGAATATTGCTTGATGCGAAATGATATAGAAAATAAACGTAACCGTTTACATATAATTTTTTATTGCATTTCTAAATTTTATTCTAAGGTCTTAGTCAAACATGTAACCAAAATTATTATTGGGCTTCTTTAAACAAAGCAGCATAAAGAACAAAGATAACCAAAATATTGTTTCTTTTGTAATTACTAACATTTCTCTTGTATCAAAAAAGCCAGATAAGTTTTCGAAAAAATAAACCAATTTTTAAGTGCTAATAAACTATTTTCATATAAACCACTTTTTTTTGTTACATCGAGTTTATCTTTTTCGCAGTTATTGAATTATTACCTTTTGTAAATAACCACATATTTTAACTTTCAATGAAATATTCTCCAATTTGTGAAATGCCAAGGCCTAAAGAATTTCATTCACATTATGCAATTTTACATCGAATTTAATATATATACCGCACCTGAAGTTGCACTTGACTGAATTTGCCTTGAAATTACACGCATTAGCTGGTAACTTTAGGCAGGTGTAATTTAAATTGCAATTTCAAGCATAACATTACATGTATTTAAAAAACTAAATTTATATATGACCTAGTTACCCTTTTATCTCTTTCTTGCTGCCAAATCACCTAGCTAAATATCTCTCTATAATATGATAACTTTGTTTATAATCATAATATTCTGGATCATCGGATAAAAGAAAAGATGAAATTTTCGCCTGTAAATATAGTCCTCATGATCTTTGTTATAGTAATCAAGGAATTATAATTAGCTCATACCAATTTAATTCTTTTTTGCATTTTTTGATTTTTACAGCCAATAGAATTGCTGTATTTTTATTATTTGTGTTTTTTAATACCCTCCCACTCTTATAAGTATACATTATTGGGTAGACGACAAAAAATAACAGCCAATTTTTTTTTGTCAGAGTTAAGTCACTCCATGTGCTGCGTAGCAGCACATGAATGAAATTAACTCTAATGAAAAAAAAACAATTGCTTGTTATTTGTCGTACGTATGTTCAATATTGGATAGTTAATATGACCATGTGAAGTTTTTTCTGTGATGTTTTGCAAAACTGATTACGTAATTTCAAGCAAAAATATCATGGCAAAAAATTTCACATCATATGAAATGTCGAATAAGCTATTATATGTTATGTTAAAACATAAAATTAAATTGGAGTGGCCCTAGGTACTTGACACTTGTTAAATCTCAGACTTTAAATTTTAACTGGAAGGTGTCTGTTTACATGGATATCCTCGTGCTCGCCATTTTTGTTTCACTGAAAATGATTATGCAACCATATTGCGTACTGAATTAAAATTATATTAAACCCGGATTTTATTTTAGCCGTACTATTTACGTAAAAATGAAGTCACCTAAAGACAAGAGAAATTTAATATGAGTGCATGAGGGTGAAAACCTGTAACCAATCATAGTAAATCATTAAATGTGTTTCCAGGTTTTCACTCTCACGCACTCATATGTAAGACGTAAAGAATTTCACAAGGTGATACGATCAAGCCAAGATAAAGATGCGTATATATCTAATATTATGCATGTGTACACAAGTGCTTTATGTATGTACATACTTGACCAGGAACCTTCACTCTCCAAAATGTTTTTTCGAATTGAATCATTTACTACTCAAGATTATCTGAACATCCTCTTATTGATACTTCTTTTTTATATTGTTCGCTTTTACCATAATTATTTCACTCGTCCAAATCCGCTTCCTGGTCCTCTATCTTTACCATTTGGGTTAGAGGTATTATCATTATTGTTTTTTTTTTTTATATTTTAGCAGTGATTAAAAAAATTTTTTTTAAGATTATATCCACCAAATTATTTATAGAATCTCTTTTATGATGGCGACTTAAAACGCTTTGCTACAACATTATATAACAAATATGGTGATATCTGTGAATTCAGACTGGGTGGTTATCGAAGAATAGTACTCTCTAAACCAGATTATTTTGAGAACTTATTAACTTCCTCAAAAAATTTAGCATTATTTACAAAACATGAATATTCACCTGCTATGGATATGCTTGGAAGTTTTGGACGAGGATTATTTCTAAATAACAATTATGAAACTTGGAAGATTAATAAATACTTTTTTTTACAATCAGTTTCAACTCCTAGTTTCAATGACGATGCTATAAAACGTAATATTGATTTATTTGAAGAGTTGGATGGTTATTGGAATTTGCTTGCAAAATCTCAATCTTGTAATGATGGTTGGTTTGAAATGGATTTTTTACCATGGATAAATAGGTTTATGAGTGATAATATTTCAATAATAGTAATCGGTGAACGAGGTTTATCGATGGGATCATATTATAATACATTCAACTCCGATAAGTCTAAACTTGAAAGTTCTTCTCTTAATGACCCTAAATTATTTGATTCTGATAAATTCACCCGGGCGATCATGATATATATGAGAGGTATAATATTCTTTCATATTGTTCCCCCATTCTTGAGACGCTATGTGCCATTTTTTAAGAAGAAAGCAGATGCTCTTCTTGAAAATAGAGATTTCATATTAAGAACCATTGAAAACGTGATTGAAAAGAGAAAAAATGATCTTGTAAATACTCCTCAGAAATTAAAGTCGATGAATGATTTGTTAACTATTCTCATTACTGCAAATAATGATGCAAAAAATAAGGAGGCAGAGTCTTTAACTGAAGAAGATATTAGAACGCTTTTACTTGATGTTTTTTTTGCAGGATCTGATACAGTATGTTGAATTGTTTTAATTTAATTCTATTATATTGATCATGTATTATTAATAACATTTGTATTTATTTGCATCTTTTTTTTCTACAGTCTTCAAACACATTATGTTACATAATTTACTTCATTTGTCATAATCCACACGTAAAACAAAAAATGTTTGATGAAATCGATTCAGTTTTTCCTAATAATTCTTCTATAACCGCTGATCTTCTTGCAAAACTTAAGTATTGTGATGCAATAATTAAAGAAGCTTCTCGTATGATGCCAGTGTTACCTGTATCAAAAAGGGTCGCAACTGGAGAATGTGAAGTTGCTGGATATACATGGCCAGCCAAAACTATATTTCAACTAAATTATGCCAGCATTCATATGAATGAGAAATATTGGGACAATCCCACTGTTTTTGATCCGAACAGATTTTCTTTACAAAATGATTCGAATGAATTCGATTATTTAAACAATTTGGATAAAGAGAATAAAAAATCCACTCATAACGCAAATAAATATTCGTTAGTTATTTTTGGTGGTGGTATAAGAATGTGTCCTGGGAGAAAGTTAGCAATGATTAATATGCTATCCTTCATGGTGTTGATGTTCAAAAAATATGATATAGAATTAGTAGATAGGGAAGCCCCATTGAAAACACATAGCGCATTCCTTACTAACTGTTTAGAGTTAAAAATCAAAATCCAACCTAGGAAATTATCATTGTAATTTATTACAATCATTTATTTAAATCCCTTATTATACTTTGTGTACTTTATGATATAGTTTTAATCATGACTTGCATATTTCATTTATATAACATTTTTCATCTTTCAATCATTTATTGTATTATAATTTTGTTGAAAACGAATTTTTGTTATTAACATAGTTTCGTACTATACAAAATCTTATTATATATTTATTATTTTATGTATGAAAATTTATGAATTCATTATTTTTTACGCCAAGTTTTACTGACATCTAATAAATTTGGCAAATTTGGTAATTGAAGAAACAAATGGTGCACAAACTTGTTTGAATAAGTATAAACAAATTGAATAAATAGGATATTGCATGATGATATATATTCAAGAATATCTTGATTAATGAATATCGCTGAAGCTGAAAATTTTAAATATGTTTAATATTAAATTTTTCAAAAATTTTCGGGGTGGCTTTTTTTTTATAATTAAGTTATGAAAACCTAGCATCGTCACAAAAAAAAAAAAAAAAGAAAGTAAAATAGCTGCTGCTACGTATAAATTTATCACATATCGCATGAATTATCAGTAATAAAGTTATTCGTAGCAATGATATAAGCACAGTCTAACTCAATATAGTTTTTGGACTCGAGTCAACTCGTAGCTTAAAAAACATAGTCTTAACTCGAATTAACTCGAGTTAACTGTAGCTTAAAAAACATAGTCTTAACTCAAATTAACTCGCGTTAACTCGTAGCTTAAAAAACATAGTCTTAACTCGAGTCAAGACATGTTTTTTTAAGCTACAAGTTGACTCGCTCAATATAATCACCGGGTTAGTAGCTAAAATGCAATGTGACTAAGGTAATTTTCTTGTTTGTCTATGGATGTTATTTTTTGTTTAAAGAAAGATATTTATTAATTTAGTCAAAAAAATTATGATTTGCACTCAGATAAATTAATTAATATCTCTTTTCAATAATTTGTCTTAATTAATGTTCATAGGTGTTAATTCACACAATTACAGTATAATGATTTGTAAAATGACAATAGAATTTTTTTTATATAATTTTTGATTAAATTGAGTGATTATATCAAGGTTTAACTATAATAATCTATTAAAATTTATTTCATTTTAAAATTCTAAGAAAATAATAAGTGTATAAAAAGAAATCATTTGTAAACAGAGAAAAAATTATCTTAATAAAAAAAAATGATTGACAACTTCTTAGAAATATTGTAATAAATAATCTTTATTTAATTCAAATACAAGTTTAAAAATCTAAGTACAGATTAATTGGTTATGTATATTGCTAAAAAATTTTGTATTATGTTTAGCAAAATAATACTAAAATATGATCATTGAGATGACAATCATATAAAAACAAATAGCCTATTAGAACAGCAGTCATGATATTAAAAAAAAGATGTATTATATGATTCTAGAAATGATTATATAGATTACTTGATAGCAGAAAGACAAAAATTTGCATGTATTCTTTATAACAAATTTAATTTATTAAAATGAGACACAAAATAAATTGAATTATTATTAAATCTAAATTTAAATAAATTTAAAATAAAACATTATAATTTGCAAAAATCTGAACTAAATTTTAAAATTGAATCTATTTAAAAAAGAAAAAATATTTTCTAATTTATTTAAAAAAAAATATAAATAATAGGAAAACAAATTCATTATAAATTTAATTTTTAATTATTTAATAGATTTTTATATCAATATCTAACATTACATATTTATTACTTATGTAATTGATTTGTTATATATGTATATATAATAAAATTATATAAGTTAATTTAATAAATCATATATATAATATTTTAATTTTTAATATCTTTAATCTTATTATTAATTATAATTACTTTAATTTTATTTACTTTATTATTAACTATACTGTTTTTAGGAATGTAGTGACTTAGTGGAATGGATAAGTTGTCAATCCCTAAGTGGCAGGTAATGAGTTCAAAACCCACTAACAGTAAAAATTTGGATAATCATTTATGTTATATATAGATGTATTATGATAATAGCATTCTGTTAATCAGTTGGAATAAGATATCTGTAATACAGTCACATCAGCATAACTGGTAGGTCATAGGGTATCTGCACAATATTGGAATTATACAAAGGAATGCAAACTGGCATCAGATAGTGCAAACTTAAGATAAGTTGTCATGACTATATAAATCTATGAACTGGGATGCTAGAGCCTACTTGAAAAGACCTAAATAAAGAGATAATACAGATCTTTAACAATATTACTTTAAAGGCTAGACCTAGGAAACAGATACCAATGTGAAAGAAATCAGGTAGACAAGAACCTCAGATAAGAGATACTATCAACCAGGTTATCAGAAGTCTTGAACCAAAGGAAAAGAACCTTGAAGTACAGACCCTGAGATATTAGAGACAGATTATAGTTTTTTTGAACTATCTGGATTGGGAGTCTGAGGTCAGAAGCAGAGGTATATTATAAATACTAGAAATATATTATAAAGTTAGTACTGGGATTTAGGTAAACCCTGCAAGGATGAGTCCTGTTAATAAAAGACTAAATATGAGTAGTTAGTTAGCAGAAGGCCCTCTGGAGCCCTACAGTCAGATGACATATTCTAAAATATATAACAGCTTGATAGACATACAGACAAAAAGGTCAAGATTAGATTAAATAGCACTTTGGTATACAGAAACTTATATACTATTTGTTAATATAAGTATAGAGATCAGAATATTTAAATAGGTAATTTTCTAATAGATTACAGGTATGGCAGCTAGTGTAGAACCTGCTGTATGGACAGATTATTTAAAATAAATAATCAAAAGTTATACATATAGCTAATTGTAAACTTATCTTGTACAAATTATGTAACTATAATTAAAATATAATAAAGACAATAGTTGCTGATAACTACAATCTTAGTGAAAGTAAAAAAAAAAACTAAACTGTTTTTAGAATTTATATTATCAAGTATTATCATATTTTTTTCTTTAAATTTTTTTTTTTATTTTTTCAGCTAAGTTAAATATAAATCTTTTCTATACTAATATTGATAAACAAAGGGTGTGGGTCCCATAGCTTAGCGGTTAAGCTCCCATACCCTCCACAGTCAAGGTCAACAGTTCAAGTCCAGCTG